AAATTGTTTATAAGCGATTCGATCAAAATAATCGATTTCGGGATGATTTGCATGTCATTCTTTCAGCTAAAATCTTTGATTATAATCGTATGATTATAATCGATTAAAAATCGATTATTTGATGATTTTTAAACAATTTTTTTTACATGGGGAACACATCTTTTTATCTCTTCTTCACTGCAACGATCATTGATGCATACACCGTCTTTCTTCTATCTTAACTAAAAAATAAATAAACAGTCAGGTTGAAGAATCATAAGCAACGGTTTTTTTCTCGTCGTGCATGTAATCAACACTCTACCTGTAATTAATGTGTGAAGAAAAAGGAAGCAAGACACGTCAATCAACTCTCTTCAGTTGCCAAACACGCTATATTAGTCACATAGAAGAACCTGTAGCGCAGCAATGTTCGTCTCCCTTCGTACATGTGTTAGCGATGATTCATTCTCATTTCTTTCCCTTGATATCTTACTATCTATTTCTTCTCTTCTTCCTTTGGTTCCTCTCTCTCCTCCTTCTCTATTGTATGTTGTTAACGATATTTTTTAAACAAGAAAGATATATCGAACTAAATAAACATAAGCTCGTCGAAGCGAGCTAACAATTTGGTGCCGTGACCCATCTTCTTCTAATTACCACATCGAAGAAGAACGAACTGGTTAGTAAATCTACACATCCGTGACAAAAAGAATGAAGTACCATCTCATCCTTCTAGGGAAGAGAGAAGGGTGTGGGTGGTGTGGGTGGGTGTGGGTGTGGGTGCGGGTGGGTGTGGTTAGGTGTGGGTGCGGGTGGGTGTGGTTAGGTGTGGGTGGGTTGGGTGTAGGTGTGTGGGCGGGGCATGGGTGTGTGATAGGAGTATGGGTGTGGTAGTGGGAGCGGGTTTTTCTTCTGTCATAATCAACACTCACACCCACACCCACTCATCTTTTGCAGTTAAAATCATTTGAATATTTAAACTATGTATCCACTAGATATGAGAGAATACAAAATAAGTGAATGATAGAAAAATATAAAGGACGCGAGAGAAAAACTAACAAGTCTGCAAGAGAATATTTAAACTGTCAGTACCACTATTAGCGACACCAAAATCTAGTTTTCTGTCGTTATTGAAGTCTCCAACAACAATAGAGGATGGATTGGATCCATACTCCAACGGAAATAAGATGATGCTTGCAAATGTCCCGTTGCCATGTCCAAGAAGTACGCCTAGATAATTGGTATCATGAATCGCGACGACAATGTCTTGTATAGTGTCGTTGTCAATGTCACTTACAGCTAAAGAGTATCGAGACGAACTGGAGCTTGTAGGGTACATCATTTGATTTTCAAAAGAGCCATTCCCATATCCAAGAATAATACCAACACTGTCTGACTCACAACTAGCAAAGACGATATCCACTCGAGTATCATTGTTGAAATCGCCGGCAGCCATGGAGCATGGAGATGAAGACACGCCAGTTGAATACGTCACTTGATTGGCAAAAGAGATGTTTCCATAGCCAAGAAAAATACCAATATTGTGCGCGCGTGAATTAACGACGCCAATATCCATTAAATCATCATTATTAAAATCGCTGATTACTAAAGACTGTGGTCGAGAATTATCTCCAGTTACCAGTATCGTTTGCTTTCGAAAAACTATATTGTCATAGCCAAGAAGGACACTTAAATCATCGGTATAATAATTGCTGACAACGATATCTAATCGAGTGTCGTTGTTGAAATCACCAACACCTACAGATATTGGGAATCTGCCAACTGGATATCGTTTTTGATTTGCAAAAGAACCATTTCCATTTCCAAGAAGAACACTCACATCATAGCTACCCCCATTGGCGACAACGATATCTAGTTGAGTGTCGTTGTTGAAATCACCAACAGCTATAGATTGTGGATAAGAGCCAGTTGCATAACTTGTTGGATTTTCAAAAGAACCATTTCCATTTCCAAGAAGGACACTCACATCATTGCTACCATAATTGGCGACAACGATATCTAGTCGACTGTCGTTGTTTAAATCACCAACAACTATATATGATGGATAAATGCCAGCTGAATACCTTGTTTGACTTTCAAAAGAACCATTTCCATATCCAAGAAGGACACTCACATCATCGCTATAATGATTGACGACAACGATATCTAGTCGATTGTCGCTGTTGAAATCACCAACAGCTACAGATTGTGGATAAGAGCCGGTTGAATACCTTGTTTGATTTTCAAAAGAACCATTTCCATTTCCAAGAAGAACACTCACATCATTGCTACCATAATTGGCGACAACGATATCTAGTTGACTGTCGTTGTTTAAATCACCAACAACTATATATGATGGATAAATGCCAGCTGAATATCTTCTTTGTTTCGTAAAAGAACCATTTCCATTTCCAAGAAGGACACTCACGTAATCGCTATTCCCATTGGCGACAACGATATCTAGTCGAGTATCGTTGTTGAAATCACCAACAACTACAGATCTTGGACCAGAGCCAGTTGAATACCTTGTTTGATTTTCAAAAGAACCATTTCCATATCCAAGTAGGACACTCACATCATCGCTATTCACATTGGCAACAATGATATCTAGTCGAGTGTCGTTGTTGAAATCACCAACAACTACAGATTGTGGAGAAGAGCCAGTTGAATACCTTGTTTGATTTTCAAAAGAACCATTATTGTACGCAACAAAGATATCCACATGATTACTTCCACCATTAGCGATGACGATCTCTGATCGTTTGTCATTATTAAAATCACCAGAAGCCATATCTAACGGAGGTGAATCAAAATCAATTTCATAACTTGTTTGAATTGTAAATTTTCCCTTCCCATTTCCAAGCATCATATCTGCATGCTTGGTACCATTATTGGCTAAAGCAATATCCACTTCGCGGTCACCATTGAAGTCTCCAACGGCGATGGAAATCGGATGAGAATTGGCACCAGCGCTGAGCATCATTTGGTTTTGAAAACTACCATTTCCAAGTCCAAAAAGGACGCCGATATTATTAGTGCCATAATTAGCTAAGATGATATCTAGGTTAGCATCATTGTTCAAATCACCAATCACTACGCATTGTAGGTTAGATCCACCGCCAGATGCATACGCCATTTTATATGTTATCGCTCCTCTTTTATATTGCAGCAGCACACTCACATCATGGCTACCCCCATTGGCGACAACGATATCTAGTCGAGTGTCGTTGTTTAAATCACCAACAACTACAGATATTGGGAATCTGCCAACGGGATATCGTTTTTGATTTTCAAAAGAACCATTTCCATTTCCAAGAAGAACACTCACATCACTGCTCCAAGAACTGCCGACAACGATATCTAGTCGAGTGTCATTGTTGAAATCACCAACAGCTATAAAAAATGGAAAATCGCCAACTGAATACCTTGTTTGATTTTCAAAAGAACCATTTCCATTTCCAAGAAGGACACTCACATCATTGCTACCATAATTGACGACAACGATATCTAGTCGAGTATCGCTGTTGAAATCACCAATAACTACAGATTGTGGATAAGAGCCGGTTGAATACCTTGTTTGATTTTCAAAAGAACCATTTCCATATCCAAGAAGGACACTCACATCATCGCTATAATAATTGACGACAACGATATCTAGTCGATTGTCGCTGTTGAAATCACCAACAACTACAGATTGTGGAGAAGAGCCAGCTGAATACCTTGTTTGATTTTCGAAAGAACCATTTCCATATCCAAGAAGGACACTCACATCATTGGTACCCCCATTGGCGACAACGATATCTAGTCGAGTGTCGTTGTTGAAATCACCAACAACTACAGATTGTGGATAAGAGCCCGCTGCATACCTTGTTTGATTTTCAAAAGAACCATTTTCATTTCCAAGAAGGATACTCACATCATCACTATAATGGTTGGCGACAATGATATCCAGTCGAGTGTCGTTGTTGAAATCACCAACAACTACAGATTGTGGTTGAAAGCCAGCTGAATACCTTGTTTGTTTTTCAAAAGAACCATTTCCATTTCCCAGAAGGACACCCACATCATTGCTATCCCCATTGGCGACAACAATATCTAGTCGATTGTCGTTGTTGAAATCGCCAACAGCTACAGAACATGGGGTAAGACCAACTGAATACCTTGTTTGTTTTGAAAAACCCTCAAAATAACCAAGGAAAATATCTATGCTACCAGTATCATTGTTGACGACGATGATATCTAATCAATGGTCCTTATTAAGATCGCCTACAGCGACTGAAATTGAAGAATAAGATTCAGTTGAATACATAATTGGATTCTGAAAATTGCCGTTTTCATATGCAAGAAGTACACCTATATTTTCAAAGCCTTTATTAGTGATGACGATGTCTAATCGACTATCTTGGTCGAAGTCTCCGACGTTGATCGCATATAAAGAAGTGGAACCAATAAAATAGGTGACTTGGTTAGCGAAAGTTCTATTGCCGTTGTTCAAAAGTATACCTATTTTATGTGTTCCAGAATTGGCGATAGCTATATCGACAAATTCATCGTCATTGAAGTGGCCAATAGCGATTGAGTATGGATGGGAAGCAAGTCCAGTTGAAAACGTGATTTGTTTTTCAAAAGTTCTGTTACTATTTCCAAAAAGTATGCCAACATTATTCGTGCCATAATTGGCGATGGCGAGATCTAAATAGTTGTCGTTATTGAAATCTCCAGCAGCTAATGAGGATGGAAGAGAATCATAACCTGTTGAATACGTAATTGGAGGCGAAAAATTTCCATGGCCATATCCATAGAATATACTAATACTGTGAGTTCCGTAATTCGCAATGGCAATATCAAGTAGTGAGTCATTGTTGAAATCAACGGCAATAATTGCTATCGGACGAGATGAGCCTGTTGAAAGTTCTATTTGACTTGCAAAAGATCCATTCCCAAATCCATGAAAGATCCCGATATTGTTAGTGCCGAAATTCGCTACGGCAATATCCAATCGTTTGTCATTGTTCAAATCAGCAACTGTGACCATGTAAGGACTAGAGTAGGAACCTGTTGAATACATGGTTGGATTTCTAAAATTGCCATCACCATTTCCTAAATACACAGCTATTTTGTTGGCTATATGATGGGCAATAACCATATCTAAAACCGTGTCATTATCGAAATCACCGATGGCTACAGATCGAGGACCGTAATTATAGTCAATTGGCTTTTGAGCCGTTGGTTTGAAATTGAGACCGCACGTTGGAACTAAACGATAAATGAAAAAGAATGAGATGACTGATTGTTTGCTCCAGTCGAAGTATTCGTCCTATATTGTTTTCCGTTATCACAATTACTATCGTATGTTATCATTAGTTGTCTTATGACTCTATTTAGAGACTACTCATAACCATCATCTTTCAAAAGAATTCTACTTACGAGGGAAGGTCCCCAAGTGTGAGTCTCAGTTTTGAATCGGATATA